ACATTCAACAGAACAAATGTAAAGCACCAGTTAATATAAGGGTTAGGGTTACATGAAAGACGACACATTTTCATGCATTGTACAGAGTGCATGGGAACAATATCAAACATGACCAAGCACAATAATAAATGCTTTAAGCTGCAAATTTAAAATGAACTTGTATTTTGTTTATTGTACTCCAAAATTAACAATGGGATAACAAAAGATGGAATTTTTGCAGATTTCTTAAATTTAAATATGTGTTTTCACATCCCGTGGTTTGAAAATGCATGTCTAGAGTGCCCTGATGCTTGAAGACGTTCAAAAGTAGATGTTACCTCCCAACTAGTTTTGGCTTTGGTCGTGTTCTAATGGTGGAATTAGCAACTTTAAAATTCTGGACTTGAATTAGGTCTTAACTATTTAACACTTTGCATGTCTAGGTAGGAAGGGCATTATTAGTTGCGTGACTTGATGTACGATGTCAGCCATGCTATTTGGAGAGGGGGCATGACCTTTGACCTGTCGTGACCACCATTTTTAATCCAATCTGGACTGCATTTAATTAACTGCAATGAAGCACCCATTAATGATATTTTCAAGACCCCTATGTCAGAATGAGCAGTGAATTAAATGCAAACCATGATGTGCACTGTCAGACAACATAACACAATAAAACATCTATTGTCTAAAATCTATTACAGATGAGCTAAATACAACAGAATTCTGAATCAATGGATATAGGTATTTCTCATACAAGATAAAAACTCAATTAGAACATATACAAAACTATGTGTAAATTAAAAACGTCAAAAACATAGAACCAGTTTGGTTCGTAAAAATGACAGGAGTAAATACAAGATTTAGTGGACTGTAAAATACACTGGATGTTCCATTTCTAAACCACGTATAGAGGATGCATTACCACATTGCTTTGCTGATGCCATTTTTCCCTACTGGTTTAACTTCAGTATAAAACAACTTACTTTGTGAAGATTTGTCTTTGTCCAGGACTGTAAATTTAATCACATTGGTTGAGTTGTTCAGGTCACTGCAAATAAATCGACAATATCGTCAATATCATAAAAACACGACATCAGCAATAGTACAAATATGAGGTACATGTAGAACACTTACAATAGAAAATGTTCATCCCAGAATGGATTGGCAGTGTTTCTCACGGATGCTGTCTTGTGTTTCTGTACGGGGTAGTCCATTTCAATCAGACAGTACGGATTACCGCATGCTAGTTCATTGCCTCCAGCGAGACCATTGGCTTTGATAACTGAAATCAAACAACCATTCAATTAATTATTAATAGGTAGTTACTGCAATTTTTTTGGTAGAAATACACCAAGTATCAAAGAAATTAGGCTTGTAGTTTTCAAGAAGTAAAAAGTTGACAACAAAAAATCACACTTCGATTAAGAAAGTCAACAGCGAAGCTAAAAACTTTCTTATCAATAGTCGAAATATTAAAAAAAGAATAAACAGGTAAACAGCTTCACAAAGGTTCCCTTAAAGACATTTCAAATTTTAAAACCTTTCTCTAAATTTCTTGCATACAAGGTATCTTTTGAGATGAAATTCAACACTTCACCATACCAAATTTTCTTCCAGGGAACACTACAAAAAATGCATTAGTATCCCAGAAAACATTACATTCTGTGATGACAGAATTGACTAAGACTTCAACCACACATACCTTTGACAAGCAGTCTTCTTTCGTGTGCACGTGGTGGTTTGGGAGGTATTCCTTGCGTAGTAGGCACCACGGGTCGACGGGTCATGTTTGCCTACAAATGAACAAGAAGCAATTGAAATTTAGAAAGTCTGCATTACACATGTACAGGTGTGTGGAAATTACGATTGTCAATTGTTGAATTAATTGGTCATACAATGTACATACTAACAAAGTTTGATGGACCAAATGCTGATTATTAAATTGCATTTATGAGTTTAGGTCTTTGGTATCTTGATGACATCTTATCGTATACTATCACATTTCTAATAGAGGTACCGTACTCGATCGCGTTAGCGCCCATGCCCGGGCAAGCGCCCACCCCCCACTTTTGCGCAATTTTTATATTTGGGGTCACATTCGGCAAAGCGCCCACCCCTTCAAAATGCAACTAATTTAAAACTTGGTCTTGCGTAACGAATCTTGGTAATCGTTTTTATATGATACAGCGTGGATATTGACCGCTATGAACATGTTGTGAATGCGTAGAACGCGGTAACCATGCGTAAACTACGCTTCGACAATGACCTGTTAATACAAGTAAAATGCGGTAAATATTTCATGCCATATTCAGTTTACCTCTCAAAAATGGCTAGTTACTAGTTTTTTGGAGAAACCATATCGTTTATTCGCTGAAATCAATTCCAACAGATCGTACTTCGACATCGATAATTCACTTCCGCATTGCGTTACCGGAAAGTCTTCGGGAATTTCCAAAGAATTGCGCCAGTACAACACAGCATTGTGATTGGTTAATAACCAACTTGACCCATTAGGTCAAAGGACGCCGCTGCAGGTGAAATCTGCAAATGCATCATGGCGGAAAGTGATTTT